CAGCTGTCTTCCCCCTCCAAAGCCCAGGCCAAGGCTAAGAAAGCCCCTCATTCCTGGAGCAGCCCACCCTTAGGGACCTCAGAGTGCTGGGAAAAGTTTAGGGGGCCATAGAGAGTCCCTCTGGCAGAATACCAAGGTGCAGAAGCCCCACTGGCATCTATGCAGAATTCACCAAAGGACCACCCACTGCTGCAAAGCAGGCCAAGAGCCCCTGGCAGGGCACCTGGATAAAGCAGGACCCACAGCTTGAGCCCACAGAATCTGGTGCCTCAGGATGCTGACCTTCTACAGACTCACACTTGAGATCCAAGTGTTTGTGGGGATTCCAGATTCCAGGTGTTTATATGGATCCTGTTTATACCTGGTGTTTGCTGAAATTCTGAGACTACATGTTATAAAATTATGTGATTCTAAGTGTGCATTACAAGTCTCAGACTGCATTGTTCTTTCATCTGGATGAAGACCTGAGAAGAGGGACAGGTCCCCGAACCATCCTGGGCCCTCTGGCCACCCCTCCCCCAGAGGCAGGGCTGACTCTTAATGCATATCGAAGGAACAGCCCCATCCTCCTGCCCCAGCTTGGTCACATAAATCACCTTCCCAATAATATTTATATTGATTATCTAGATTGGAAGCCTCAATTGGTTCCATTGTCTCACATCCTTTCCCAGGGCTCACAGATGGGGTCCCTTAGCCTCATCTGTGTTTCTAATGCAACATTTAAATGGAAGAGCAGCAGCCAGCAAGGCCTCATGCTGCCCTGGGTGCTGGGGGGTTGGAGGAATACATAAACATATTCCTTGAGAGAGGATGATTAAATACTAGAGTTTGTGGAGCTGGAAGAGAAGCTGAGCTGGGCAAGTCCCTGGATCCTCAAAGTGTGGTCCATCAGCACCACCTGGGCCTTTGTCAGAAATGCAGAAGCTCAGGCCCTGCCCCAAGCCCACTGAATCAACATTTGACAAGATCCCTTGGTGACTCCCACAAACGTTAACATTTAAGAAGCACTACTCTAGCCCAACCCTTGTATTGTACAGAAGAGAAACGGAAGCCCAGAGAAGGCAAAGGCCTCGTCTGAGGTCACAAAGCAGGTAAGAACCCTGAGTTCCCAGTTCAGACAGAGGAAATGAGACAGCAAGTGCCTTCCAGGGTGAGGGGCCGGCCATCCCTGGGCTCCTCTCCCTCCCAAGTTCCTGCCTCGTGTCTTGGTAGCCCAGAGAAGGCAAAGGCCTCGTCTGAGGTCACAAAGCAGGTAAGAACCCTGAGTTCCCAGTTCAGACAGAGGAAATGAGACAGCAAGTGCCTTCCGGGGTGAGGGGCCGGCCATCCCTGGGCTCCTCTCCCTCCCAAGTTCCTGCCTCGTGTCTTGGTGTGGACAGATGGTTCAGACTGGAGTCTGACCCTCCTGTACTCTCTCAGCCTGGAGGGGCCAGCGAGAGCTCCAGGGACTCCCCAGGAGGGCACCTCCTCCTGCCCCAGCCAGCCAGCTGCCCCTTCCCTGGCAGCAACTGGACAGCAGCTCCCAGGGAAAACTACCACCTGGGTCTGCCCAGCACAGCCAGGCGTCCACCGAGGGGGGCCACGGAGAGACGGAGGCCCCAGACAGGTGACCAGCAGAGGGCCTGGGAGAGGCGGGAGGAGGGAAGCTGTAGTCAGAAGGAAGGAGGCCAGGAGAAGGACAGAGGTGGTGGGGAGGGGGAGACAGAGAGATGGACAGAAACAAAGAGGGAAGGGGTGAGAACCAGGAAGGAAGAAGGGGAAAGAACAGGAGGGAAGGCAGCTGGCCTGGAGGTGTGGGAGCCCAGCATGGCCCAGCCCAGCCCTGCCCTGCCCAGCCCGGCCCGGCCCAGCCCAGCCCCCAGTGATGGTGCAGCTGCCACACTTGGGCCCTACCATGAGGTCAGTCCTGCCCCGGGGCTGAGTGAAAATAAATGGTGTCCAAGATAAAAGGTCCAAGAAATTATTTGTCTTGTTGTCAAGTCCTGACTGCAATGGGCAGGAGCCGGCAGGCAGGCGGGGCACCCTCCCAGAAACCAAGGCTGGTAGGCTCGGCTGCGCACGCAGCACCCCGGCCCCAGCATGTGCCTAGGCCACCTAAGGCCCCACCTCCCCAGGCCGAGGCTGGGGACCTGGGGTGCCTCCCACAGCCTGGGCCTGAGAAGGCAGAACCGGGTGGGGGCAGGTGCTTTCCCGGCTGTGAGGGGTAAGGACCAGGAGGCCTCACAGCAGCCCTGCCCTGCCTTTTTTATTTTATTTTATTTTTTTTTCCTTTTTGTCTTTTTTTCGTGTCCGTGGATCGCAACCCTCAGCATCGCGCCCGTACCGGACCGGGACCGGCAACGGGATTGCAACCCTCGGCGCTGCGCCCGCACCTCGCTCAGCCAGTGAGCGGGAACCGGTCTGTATGTGGGATCCGAACCCTCAGCAGGAGCACCGCCGCGCTCCCAAGCGGCGCACTGTAACAGTGCACCACCGGGCCGGCCCAGCCCTGCCTTTTTTATTTTATTTTATTTTA